CTGAAAATAAAAAATAGAAACAAGACAAAAAAAATTAGAATCAAACTAGAAACACGGACCCTGCCAGCTAGAACCGGGAAAACTGGCCGAGCGTGTCGGGCCGGCCCGTTTAGGCCCGAAAATTGTGAGGGCCGGGCTTGAAAATTTTCCCTTCAAAAGAGAAACGGGCTTAAAAGGGCTAACCCTGTAGGGGCGAGGGCCTAAATGGGTCGGCCCTGTAGGGCTGAGGGCTGCCCTGTTTAGGCCCTTTTATTTTTTTTTTAATTTTTTGTATAATTCTCATATTATTAATTTTTTCATATTGTTAATGATATTTCAAATACTTAGTTATTATTATCATTTTGAAATTAAATTTCACATAATGGTTTAATTTATTTGGTTTTAGACAATTATCTGTCCAATTAAATTTTAAAAAATAAGTTAATTTGGATTTTAATAATGATTTGATTTATATTATATGTGTTGATATTTTTAAAACTATGTATATTTGATAAGAGAATATTTTTATACTTATATAACTTGTGATGTGATTCTATATTTTAAATTAGAAATTTATGGGTTTCAATAATAATGCTTCTCAAACTAAAATAAAATAATAGTCAGATTGTGAAATTTAAAAGTGAAATTCCTATAAAGAAAAAAAAAACTTCATATTTTTGTTACGAAAAAGGAGCACTTGATTATAATGATAATAAAGTTTCAAAAAATTAACTATAGTGTTTTCCTATTACACATTTGTATTATTGATGAAATTTTTGGATGTCATTGTTTTGTTGATAAATGTTTTAAATGTTTAGGGATATTTAGATATCATAATATTTTGTATTTGTAACTTAATTTTATTTAGACTTATATCTTTTATTAATTATTTCATTGGTTTGATTTTATTTTTTATAAAAAATATGAGAAATATTAAAAAAAATTTTAAACGGGCCAAAAACCCGCGGCCCTATCCGAGCCCATCAGCTTAAAGGCCGGGCTTAGTAAATTGGGATATTTCTGAAATTTTGGCCCTATAAGGCCAAGCTGTACTGTCAGCCAATACCTTCCCTTATAGCCTTAGAATTCCCTTCTTTTGATCAAGTCATGAGCTAAAAACAAGCTTAAAGAGGATGGGGCAGAGACCAGCCACTTATCATGGTACATCCTCTTTACTGCACATCCTCCCAAAAAATCAGTGGCTTTATTACCTCTTCTTGAGACAAGAGAAATGGCTTTTATTAATTTACGATATAGAAGACTTGTAGAAATCTTGACTTGCTTTTCTTTTCTTCTTGCCTCTATTTCTACTGCATCGTCCTTATCTTCTTATTCTGTTATCTCTTGCGCTTTGCCATTCTGTGATTTTGCAAACTGCTTCTTCCTCCTTCTTCTTCCTTCGCTTCCTTGCAGAGTTATTTTCTCCAAACTGCAACAACCAACATAAATTGAGTTGGGGATCTCAATCTCTAAACTTTTATATCTTTTCTTATTTGGATGCTTCGTTTCGGATGCTTTCACGAATTATGGATCCAATACTCAGCTCATGCCAGAAGATGAAGGTTTCTTAATTAACCCCTTTCTATTTTCATCTGTTTTCTTACTATTCAAAGAAAATTACACAAAAGAAAGGGGTCAACGTGGTGGTTGACTCTTTCCTCTTCTTGAACAAGCAGTGATAAAAAAACTGTCCTAACTTTCATTTCCCCCCCTTCAAGTAGGGAACTAAATAAACTGATTCAACTATTTTCTTTCTTTCTTTCTTTCTCTCTTCCCCCCCCCCCTTTTTCCCAACAAGATTCCAATGGTTGAAAACTCTAGTAATTTATTCTATTCATTTATTTGCCACTGCTTTAATTTTATGCTAATATTGAATTCAAAGAACTAAGTAACCAATAATAACATTTTCTTTTTTGGTATAAGGAATGTGATTTGTTAAAATTTCTAAATTACACATAGATATAAATCATACCTAAAATTTTTTGGGCAACCTAGATAGATGAATAAAGCTTAATAATCTCTTTTGCATGCACAGAATATGATAGAAAATCATGTTTTATCTATTACTTGTTATGTATTAATACATAATATCTTGTTAGCTTAATTTATATGATTGTTATAATTTCTGAATAATTTAGTCCTCACCCATGAAACTGAAATAAATATGAGCAACCTACTTTAATTTTCATAACACCCAATTCATTTTGATTTTTCTTGCTATTACCATACATTGTATTCCGTGCAGTCTTCTCGCATTTATAATTTATGAAATGTGTTAATAGTCGTTTATCAATATTTTTTCTAAATAAAATAAACCAAAAAGTTCTGAAAAATTATATTAATTATTTTTAATAGTTTTATATATTTTGAGATATATCATTATAAAGAGAATACAAAAGCTATGTTTTAATTAATAATTTGAAAACTTGTAGACCGCAGTTATAAAAATGATAAAATAATTAATTATATTATTGTATATTATATAGGCTGAAATATGTAAAAAACCTTTTAACTTTGGGCCAGTTGCACATCACCTCCCCAACTTTTAAAAGTTGAATTTAAGATCCTGATATTTCATATTTTGAATCTCAACTCCCCTACTTTTAAAATTATAGTTAAAGTTAACGGTTTTTGACGTGTCGTAATTTTTTATATTTTTTTATTATATATCATTTCATTTAAAAAATAATATTTGGCGTTTGAGATAAGTATTTTAACGATTTTCTACCTTTTTATTTTAAAAAGACATGGTCAAATAAATATTTTAAATATATTTTTAAGTGTATTAAATATATAACATTCCATGTAAAATACTGAATATTTTTTCTAAAAATGAAATGGTATACAATAAAAAAAAAAAACATACGACATGACAAAAACAATTAATTTTAATGGTAGAGAAGATGATAGTCAAAACATGACTACGACTTATTGGGGAAACGTGATTTCTACACTCATATTTGGGTATTACTGATGCTGTGGAGAAGCAGACATTTCTTAATCAATATAAGAATGAAAACAACAAATTAGACATTTACTACGACTTAAGTTTATAGGCTAAGCCATTATTAGCGTTTTAAATTGAATTTGAAGCAGCTTTGCATGATCCATATGGTGGACAAGTTCATCAATGTCAATAGCAATGCATGTCGAAGTTAAACAAAGTGGGCAACGGCAAGCGCTTTGAATTTTTCATTTCTTTTATGTTTTGAAAAAACTGAATTGTGTTTGATGCAGTGAAAGTTCTAAACACAATGTCATTGAAGATAGAGAACTTGAATTGGAATGTGACCCCGCGTTCTTGTGTCTATGGAGGTTTCATTGGTGGAGCGAATAACATCACAACGACTGTAACATGCAACTACAGTTTCTCAAATGGAAAAGTTTGTCATGTTACAAATCTGTAAGTGCATCTGTCTATATGGTTACAACGTGACCCTTTCAATTTGGGTACAAATCAAGCTCCCATCTAAATCAAGTTGTGTTTAATGAGTTCCAAATAATGTTGAAAAACTTTCTTTCTTACTTTTTGTATTCCTTTCCTTATTTAAAACCAGTTGATTTGATTTTGAGATACATTTCTATAGTATTTAGAATAAGTTAGGTCTTGCTCTGCATCACAATAAAATTAATATTCAAATGCTTATTGGTGCTATTTTTTTTTTTTCCTGCCAACAAATTGTCCTAATTTTAAGATAATTTATTTTATTTTATCTCTATATGTAAATAGTTGTAGTAATGTGTTTTCTTTGAATGATAGCAATTTCATGAATCTCAACTTATCTAGACTTTTACCAAGTGAATTTGGATTGCTTACCTATCTGCAAGAACTCTAAGTAATGAATTTTTTTTTTAATTCTATTATTGGTTTAAATATGTGTGCACACGCGTGCTTAGTTGAAATGTGGGAATTAGTCTCCATGTTCACTTTATCTCTCATACTTATTTATTTTTTTTCCAAAGTAGTCATTATACTAATGGTAGTTTTAACCAATACACTTAATTAGTAAGAATTTTTGGAAAGTATAACATCTATTTATTAAAAATAATGAACTTAGCTAATTTTCATAATCTATTCAAATTAGTCAACTAGCTTTTATATTAAGGACTGGATGTAGTATAGTTATTTTCAACCAGTGATTTGTCTCACAATTATTCAAGCTCGAATTATTTGACCATATGCATTATTCACCTCCTAAACACGTCTTAGATGCCTTACGGCTAACGCAATTAGTGGTCTAATTCCAGACAAAATTGGTAGCATTACAACTTTAGTGGATTTGTAAGTAAAATAATGACACTTTTTTTAGTTTTAAAAACTTATTGCTCTATTGGGAAATAATTTTATGGTTTTGCTACTTTTTGCAAAAGCTTGAATGATAATCTATTGGAAGAGACTCTTCCTTCTAGTCTCAGAAAATTGACGCGGTTAAGCATGGTGTAAGAATATTATTTCAAGTGCAAATAATTTTCTTTTATCTTATTCGTTGCATTGTGACTACCACATTAGTCTTGTCATAGATGTGTTATATGTTTCTAAGGATTTAGAAATTGTAGAGATCTTTTTGGAAATAACTTCTTGGGGGCAAATACCCGAAAGTTTTGGTAATATGAAAAAACTAGAATCTATGTGAGTGGTATAATATGATTTAATCTTTCCATTATATTTTATTTTTGATGTTGTGTTGATCTCTTTTAAATTCTAAAGTTTCTATCCTAACACTTTTTTAGTTCTTTAGATGGCACCAACATGCCAGGAAAATTACCCAATGTTATTGGGAAAATTACCTAATTTTATGGTTTTGCTACTTTTTGTAGAAGCTTGAATGATAACCTATTGGAAGGGACTCTTCCTTTTAGTCTCGGAAAATTGACACAGTTACGCATGTTGTAAGAATGTTATTTCAAGTGCAAATAATTTTCTTTTATCTTATTCATTGCATTGTGACTACCACATACATTAGTCTTGTCATAAATGTATTATCTGTTTCTAAGGATTTGGAACTTGTAGGGATCTTCTTGGAAATAACTTCTCGGGGGCACTACCTGAAAGTATTGGTAATATGAAAAACCTAGAAACTATGTGAGTGGTATAATATGAAACATCCTTCTTTTAATCTCTCAGAGTACGCATTTAGAAGTGTTACGGTTCAAGTGATTCACAAACCAAGCTCTTAAATTGAAAATTTGCAATTGGTTTTCGGGTTACTGTTCACTAATTAAATTTTAGATTTTTTTGTCCAAATTAGAAAATTCATAACCAAATATAGAAAAATTGTATTGAGGTAGTTTAAAATTCTATTTGAAGCTCTTTCAATTCTCTACAGGAAAAAAAAAATCAAACTAGACTTATCCTTGGGCAATTCATACAGTTTATTCCTTAAACTTTACTGTTGATTTAGTCAAAATTGTATGTTCTAGTTTCTCTGTCCTAACTTTGACCGAACATAACTCTTAACACAAACATCCATTTTAGGTGATCTACCACTCGTTTTAAATATCATGACATGTACTTTAACCATACCAAATTTTATGCCTTAACTCATACATATGGTAGGTCAAACTGGAGCTGGAAGTTGACTGCTCTAGGACCTATGTTTTATCCATTAGACAATGCTTGCTTTAATTCTTCTTATTATTTTTTTCCATTCATTCTCATACATTTTCATTCATGCCATAAACATTCTAAACAAATACATCATATCATTGGTATTCATATACATAATTTGCACATTAGGAGAATCATATATTAACCAATAATTTCATTCATTGACATGAATAATTCTCGACTTTCTTCTCCTTCCTTCTCATGCTCTCCTTCATACAATCATTGTCCATCATACTTAACCTAAATGGTTGGTTAGGGAGAGGTGAGATTCTGGAGAATCTTAGTAGCAAATAATAACCACCCAAACATACATGACAACCTTGGCATTTATAACATGCTTGCAACTTAACACCTTTATAACATAATGATATGTTTGGAAATCATCATGCATTTATCATAGAACACATGGGCCTATGGCATATTTCAAATACATTTACAATCACAACACATGAGTTCATAAAATCATATAACATAAAAACATGTCATACATGCAAGCAAATACCAAGCACATAAGAGTAAGGTCAAGTTTGCTACCTTGTGTCTTTAAACTTTCTCTTTACTTCCTCCTGCTCCCTTTTGCTACCAATCATTAAGGTTGCTTGCTCAACCTTTACCATTCATCTTCCTCAATGTCTCATGACCCTAAATGCATCAACATATCATTTCTATTCATTCATTAAAGCTATAGTAATCAATAATATCAACACTTTGTTTTCTCTTAACTATATTAACTTTTAATTGTTGAGCTTGATTTACAATCTTTCTAAAATTAATTTCACATGCTATTCCCATACAATTTTGCATGTAGAATCCATTTCCGAACTCAAAATAATCAAAATCAAGCTCCTTCCCTATGAACCAGCCTTGACCAAATAGTATGCCTTCAGGGTCCAAAATTTTCATTTTCAATTCCAATGATTCCAAACTTGTTTTCTCACCTTTACCCCACATAATTTTTCATTTTAAATATATTGGAAGCATTAAAATCATCAAAATTACATCCTAGGCATAAGAGCCAGATCTGGCCGAATTACTACTCAAGTTGCACAATCATGAAATTAAACCAATTTCAAAATAAAACCACTTAATTCTTGTTCCTTTCAAGCCTTTAAACATTATTATAACATCAATTTCATCTTCCCCTATTCTTAATAGTTTCATTCAGCATGCCCCTCTAGGTTTTCAAGCTCCAAAAAATCATTAAAATACATAATCAAGCTCAATAACAATAACGGTAGTGAAAATTGCATAAAAAACCATAAACATATTTTGTTTCAGAGCTTGATCTTACATTGAGTCACTTAGCCTTTCTCTCTCTTTCTTATTTCTCTCTCTAGAATATATTTTGCAAGAGTTTCCCCATGGTTCCATGAGCTTACACGAAAATGAGGGGTGGGGAGGGGGTATTTATGAAAATAAGACTAAATCTGGACCATTGATCTTAAAAATATGTGGTATGATCTGGACCGTCCATTTTCTCTTTTTATCTTGTGATGATGTGTGTTCTATGACATCATACTTACATCATCTTTGATGACATCATGCTTGCATCATCAATTCACATGCCTTTAATTCAACCATACACTTGTCTGGCATCCAACCATACATGTAATACCTTCATTTCCTATCTAACCGCACACTTGTCTCTTCTATATTCCTTCATCATTTTGGAATTAAAATATGGAGGAAATTAATATAAAATTCATGCAAAATACAACCTTTAGGCATTCCTCCACCTATCTTGCCATTCTGCACAGTATAGGGTATTTTTTGGAGTCCTGACTTTCTTGGGACCACTGGGACATGTTATAGTACCATTCTCTCACATCAACTAAATTCACATTGCATTATATAACATGCCCAAAGAGAGAGTGATGCTCTTCCCTTGTTCTTCTATTAAAATAATTAATAATATTTATTTCGGAGTGATCTTGACCGAATTCTTTCTACTGATCCACAACTATGAGAATCCATCTCTGGGTACCAATACTATTTATTCATCATGGGAAATCTCTCTAATTTTTCTTAAGTCAAAAGTCAACCTCTAGATAGTTGACTTTGACTTTTCCCAAGATAATGTATAAATAGGCTTTAAATTATATTAAACCCAACCTCTTCGCTTTTTGGGCGATAGAATTATTTTTAAAGCCTGTGATAATTCCTTAAGCATTTTTTTCCTATTTTCTTCCAATTATCTGAGGCCTCTCTATACTTTAAATAATTCATTTTTGAAAATATTCCAACTTAGTCAAAGCCCTGGGAATTCCATAATTTCCTTCTAGGGGTATTTTTGTCATTTTTAGCCTCATACAGGCCTCTAAACCTTATTCCCATTTTTCTAAAATTTTTCTGAAGTGTTCAGGCCTTAACCTACCATTTCCCATTTTCAAAGATTTTTCTGGGATTTTCGAGCATAATTTTCATTTTTACCCTTATCAGTCCAAAACTTTGTAAAATTATGATTTTACCCCTAGTTTGGCTTAACCTCAAAATTCACCTCATTGAGGCCTTTAACATAGCCTTTGGCCTACATTTATTTCTATTTCTCATTCCTAGGCCGTGAAACTTCTTCCAAGTCTCTAACTTCCTCTTTTCTCAGCCTCAAAAAACTTTTCTTTTGCAATTTAGTCCCTGAGAATCCTGTTATCCTTCCAGGGATCTCTGGGACCTCTGCCAAAAAGAGTCTAGTAGCCTACTCATTTCAGTCTAATTTCAGTACTTCTAGGCCCAAAATTCAGGATGTGACATAATATGATTTAACCTTTTCATTATATTTTATTTTTTATATTGTGTTGATCTCTTTTAAATTCTAAAGTTTCTGTCCTAACACTTTCATAGTTCTTTAGATGGCACCAACATATCAGGAAAATTACCCAATTTTATTGGAAAAATTGCCTAATTTTATGGTTTTGCTACTTTCTGTAGAAGCTTGAATGATAATCTAATGGAAGGGACTCTTCCTTCTAGTCTCGGACAATTGACGCAGCTATGCAAATTGTAAGAATATTATTTCAAGTGCAAATAATTTTCTTTCATCTTATTCGTTGCATTGTGACTACCACATTAGTCTTGTCAGAAGTGTTATCTACTTCTAAGGATTTGGAACTTGTAGGGATCTTTCTGGAAATAACTTCTTGGGGGCAATACCCGAAAGTTTTGGTGATATGAAAAAACTAGAAACCATGTGAGTGGTATAACATGATTTAATCTTTTTATTATATTTTATTTTTGATGTTGTGTTGATCTCTTTTAAGTTCTCAAGTTTCTCTCCTAATACTTTTGTACTTCTTTAGATGGCACCAACATATCAGGAAAATTACCCAATTTTATCAGGAAAATTACCTAATTTTATGGTTTTGCTACTTTCTGCAGAAGCTTGAATGATAATCTATTGGAAGGGACTCTCCCTTCGAGTCTCGGACAATTGACACAATTACGCATGCTGTAAGAATATTATTTCAAGTGCCAATAATTTTCTTTTATCTTATTCATTGGATTGTGACTACCACATTAGTCTTGTCATAAACGTGTTATCTGTTTCTAAAGATTTGGAACTTATAGGGATCTTTTTGAAAATAACTTCTCGAGGGTAATACCTGAAAGTTTTGGTAATATGAAAAAACTAGAGGCTATGTGAGTGGTATAATATGATTTAATCTTTTCATTATATTTTATTTTTGATGTTGTGTTGATCTCTTTTAAATTCTAAAGTTTCTGTCCTAACACTTTTTAGTTCTTTAGATGGCACCAACATGCCAAGAAAATTACCCAATGTTATTGGGAAAATTACCTAATTTTATGGTTTTGCTACTTTCTGTAGAAGCTTGAATAATATTCTAATGGAAGGGACTCTTCCTTCTAGTCTTGGACAATTGACGCAGCTATGCAAATTGTAAGAATATTATTTCAAGCGCAAATAATTTTCTTTTATCTTATTCGTTGCATTGTGACTACCACATTAGTCTTGTCAGATGTGTTATCTGCTTCTAAGGATTTGGAACTTGTAGGGATCTTTCTGGAAATAACTTATTGGGGGCAATACCTGAAAGTTTTGGTAATATGAAAAAAACTAGAAACTATGTGAGTGGTATAAAATGATTTAATCTTTTCATTATATTTTATTTTTGATGTTGTGTTGATCTCTTTTAAATTCTAAAGTTTCTTTCCTAACACTTGTACTCCTTTAGATGGTACCAACATATCAGGAAAATTACCCAATTTTATCAGGAAAATTACCTAATTTTATGGTTTTGCTACTTTCTGCAGAAGCTTGAGTGATAATCTATCGGAAGGGACTCTCCCTTCTAGTCTCGAAAAATTGACGCAGTTATGCATGCTATAAGAATATTATTTCAAGTGCCAATAATTTTCTTTTATCTTATTCGTTGTATTGTGACTGCCACATTAGTCTTGTCATAAATTTGTTATCTGTTTCTAAGGCTTTAGAACTTGTAGGGATTTTTGTGGAAATAACTTCTCTGGGTCAATACCCAAAAGTTTTGGTAATCTGAAAAAACTAGAATCTATGTGAGTGGTATAATATGATTTAATCTTTTCATTATATTTTATTTTTGATGTTTTGTTGATCTCTTTTAAATTTTTGAGTTTCTGTCCTAACACTTTTGTAGTTCTTTAGATGGCACCAGCATATCTGGAAAATTGCCCAATTTTATTGGGAATTGGAGCAAAGAAATGAGTCTAATATACTCTATCATAACACTTCCTTTTTAAATAAGATGCTATTTTATGAACTTAATGTATTGAACTTAAACAAGCTTAATGAAGTTCAGTGCTTTTATTTTAATTTACTCCTCGATTCTATTATATTGTCCTATTTAGTTTGTTGGGAATTGTTGAAAACAGATAAAAAAGGGAGAATTATTATAGGACCCCAATAAAACAATGTAATCACTAAAAGTTCAGACAACAACAATTAAGTGACATGTAGTGATAAGATTTAGTAGAAAATGACTTTAGGTTTATGCTAATCACTTGTCATTTGAATTTATTAGTTATTATGTATTTTTTTGGGACCTCAAGTAACTCTCCAAAGAAAGAATATTTGGGCAGGTATTTGCAAGGAACGTCTATGGAAGGCCCTATTCCAACCATATCTCACTTAAGAAGTTTGTTTTATCTGTTAGTACTTAGTCTTTTGTAATTCATCCGCATACTCTTTGATGGTTATGAAATTAAATTTCAACAGAAGAATATTTTCCTGTTATTGATACTTTTTTATTTAATTTTTATTCAAAATGATATTTGATTTGCGTGGACTAGCGATGATGAGATTTCCTAATCTGAAGAATTTGCTATCCTTGCAAATCCTGTAAGTTGAGAATTTAATAGTGAGGTGAAAATTTGTTTATCGAGAATGAGCTATATACATTCTCAATGAATTTTTATGCTTTGCTTTTCTCTCAGGGTGTTGAGAAATTGCTCCATCCATGATTCTATTCTAAATTATATTGGTAAAATAGAAAAGTTATACAACATGTAAGTTGCTTCATCCTCAAATAATATTCCCAATTTAATGTTTAATTGACAACCTAATTCCTAATTTAGAGCTACTTACTTTTATTGTGGACTATTTATTACAAGAAATATTATTTTTCAGTTATTTTTATGAAGCAATATTTGTGGCCCCATGTATTAATTGCAGAGACTTGAAGCTTCAACAAGTTGACTAGTAAAATCCTAGACAGTATAGGTAACTCAATGTCCCTAAATTACATGTAAGGGAGCATTCTGCACAGGTATATAACTTGATTTTTTTTGAACTTAATTACCCTTTTTTAATGGATCTTTATTAATACGTATGCAGGATTCCATCTGAAAATTCTCTGTCCGAAAAAATTCCTGATTGGATATTATAGCAGCAAAACAAATATGATTTTTTGTTAGTAAAATATTTTTTATTTTAATCTTTTTTGTCATTACTACATATATTTCAATGCCATTACTATTTGAAATTAATTCTGTCTTTAGCCTTTAAATCTTTCATCATTTTTAATTAATCCCCTTTGCATAATGTCATTTTGATTTGAGCTTTGACATATGAAAAAATTTGGGAGCACTGCTACGAAATCTCAAGGAAGGAATATAAGTCCTAGTAAAAATAAAACAACATGCAATGATAAGAAGAAGAAGAGCCAGGCCAACCAATTCATTTAAACTTTATCTAATAAAATTATATATATATATATATATATATATAACAGGGAAAAAATTACATGTGTAATTTCACACAACTTTCTATTGTAGTGATTTATCTTACAACAATTTTTTGGAGACTTCCGCGACTACTTGTCAATATGGAAAAATGTGAGCTCTTCTCCTCCAACTCCAAACTACTTTTTTCTTGTTCTTAAAGACATTATGCAATAACTGCAAGACTTTTTCTTTTTTTGGTTACACAGAAACTTAGGTTCAAGTCTGTCCTCTTCAGCAAAAACCTCGTAAGATTATACTTGTGGCTCTTATGTTTCACTCATTCTAAATGCTTTTGATTCATGTTTTGTAACTTTTATTCATCTTGCAGACGTACATGCCTAAAAAAGGGTCTTCGTTGTGGAGGAAAACCCAAGTGTGAGTGTCTTCTTGCTTATTTTAGAGTTTCCCATGGCATTATCCTTTTTTAGTTGTATTTTATTTTCTCATTATGAACCCTTTTGAGAGGTTTAACTAAATAAGGTAGATTTTAGTGAATGTAACGGTGAAATGACTATCAATGTCATATGACAATATACATACTCTCTCCGTTCCTTATTATAAGATTTAATTTTTTTTGAATAGGTTTGTCCCTTTTTATAAGATCCTTTCTGAGTTTGTCTAAACATTTAATATATTATTACCAATTTTACCCCTAAGTTAACGCATTTAATACATTCACTTTTTTTCATTTATCTCACTATTACTCTCACATCTATCTATTTATATAAATGGGTGTATTTGGAAAAAAATTATGTTTGTTACATATTAATTGCTTTCAACTAATTTTAACTGTTTTCTTAAAACACACGATTTAGTTCAAAGGTTCTTATAATAAAGGACAGAGTAGTGTGTATATATATAGAGAGAGATCATGATCTTATGAATTTGATCGTTTGGATTCTCTTATAGAGGTGATTTTTTATGAGGTTGTCCCTATGTATGCAGATCATTCATTGTTCATAAATTGTGGGGGACTAGAGATTGAATACGAGGGGAATAAATGTGAAGGCGATGACAATCCTGAGGGTATCTCATACTTTTTTGCTAGTAATGATAAATGGGCTTATAGTAGCATAGGAGCAGTAAATTACGATAATAATTACACAGTAACAAACATATTTTTCCTCGACATTACTGGTCCTCACTTCTACTAAATAGCTCGTGTTTCCCCTATGTCTCTCAAGTACCATGGCCTCTGTATGATTAATGGAAATTACAACGTCAAGCTATATTTTGCTGAGATTATGCATTCTTATGACCAAAATTTCCATCACACTGGAAGGCGCATATTTGATGTTTCAATCCAAGTGAGTCTCACTATGTTGAATTTAAATTATTTTCTAGTGATCAAAGAATTCCATGAATAGTGAGAAAATAAGACTCTCCACCCATGAAGCCATACAGTTGAAGAGAAATAAATATTGTGGGATGTGTCACTATCAATTGAGCTCAAGTGTATGTTTATGTTTCTCTTTAATGGGTGGCTAAATGGCTAATTATAAATAAGAAATACTTACATACTCTTGGAATGCCACGTCATTAGTACTCTCTCCAATGAAAATATTCCAAGTGTATCCCACAAATTTCTCTTGACCCATTATGATAGAAATTTGTGGGATTCATAATAAAGGACACCTAGAGCATTTTCATCAATAGAGCATGGATTATGTGACACTCAAGGAGTATGCAAGAATTTCTTATTATAAAGACAAGGACTATTACTATATATAATGATTTAACATGCTTTCAACTTATTTCACTATGTACGTTTACAAAAGCTCTGAAAGGTAAAACTTTTGCATGTATATCTTGACAGGGTAGGAACTATTTGCATGATTTCAACATTATGAGGGAACCTGGTGGCATTGGTAAGGGCATTGTCAAGGACTTTAATGTTGATGTTAATGATAACACCTTAGAGATTCACTTATACTGGGCTAGAAAAGGAACTAGCTCCATTCCTGA